ACTCTTAGGAAAGCCTGGATGGGATGAGCTACAATGGCAGGAAGACCAGTCCTGAGGCTCCTGCAATAATTCAGGCACAAAATGATGAGTGTTAAAGGTGACGGCAATGAGAAAAGAGAAGAGGAATCAAATGTGAGTCATAATTTTTGAGGTAGCATCAACATGATTTGTTGATCAAGTCCCTGTACATAGATTTTTAAAATGACTTCTCTGCCTGAGCTTGGTTGCCTTCATGAGATTTGGAAATCTATTATTGCCCCTTCCAAGATCTAAGCAAGGGAGAGTTAAGTATGGTGGTTAACTGGGACTTCTGCATGACAAGTCAGTAAGGTCCTGAATTAGTCTTCAGGCTGGTTTCTCATGTCTTCTGGGCTGGCTGATGTGCTTCTGAGGTGTCCATGTAGACACTGCTTTCAGGCTTCTTCTCTAGTCTCTGGTACACTTGCCTGCACAGTGGACCAGCAAGGTATGCCTAGGCTCCTGGCTTTTATTCTAGTCCTTCAGTGAGGAAAAGTAAGATACTTTCCATCCATCCTCTGTTCACTTGGGTCTATAACTTTATAAGTAGTGCTTAGCTAACCTATGAACAGTAGCCAATCTGTCTTGCTAGATTTGGGCATTCTACCTAGAAGAATTTCTAACAAACTAGAAATCAAGCTGATAAAGGAACTTTAAGCATCTCAGTTGTTCAGAAGCCCTGCTAACCTTGCCCCTCCCTTCTCCCATGAATACCATAGCTCTCAAACATAACAACAGTTCCCAAAATTGTTTTTCATATCAGAAACACCAGGCCCTGTTTCTCTGTGTTCTAAATTAATAGAACTGCACATGGAGGTGGGGAGAGGGAATGGAGAAGGATGGTACTGGAAATCTCCTAAGATGATTTTGACGTGAGGCCAGATTTGCAGACTTCTGATGTAGATAACAATGCATCTCAGAGCATAAGCCCATTGGATTTAGCTATCCAGGCTGCCCCTTCCCTAGGCAGTTGGGAGAGTCATTCCTTAGCTTTAGTTGGACCTCCTGGGCCAGAACCCAGTTTTCCTACTTCTTACTATCTTTATATAAGTGTGTAGCATGTTTTACTACTATCTAGCCAAAACTTACCAGTAGAGAGAAATAAAGGATGACGCAGATATTTCTAGTTTGAGAATTTAAAAGGATGGAACCGCCATCATTTGAGATGGAGAATTCAGGAGGAGAAACAAGGGTGCAGGAAGGAGGGTGAGTTCCATTGAAGGAAATGTATTAGGATTGGAAGGTCCCTGGGATATGGGCTTTTGACCAAATGAGAAGTGAAAATTAGTGCTTGTTGAATGAAAAATGTCCAGAGTTTGATGTGTTTCTTTTATCTCTTGTGATATCATTGCACAAAGTCTTCCACCATCTTTACAATTTGAGTATATGAATTTACCCCCAATTCAAAGAAATAGGACATAACATTGAAATTTTATATGATGACCTGGAGTAGATATTAAATAAATATATGTTGCATATAGGAAGAAGTGAATGGTTTCCAGCTGATAGTGATCCTCATGAAATTAATAGTAATTTTAAATACATAGCAATCAGTATTCATTCATTCAATCAATCATCATTTAACAAATATTTATTGTGTCCACAAATTTCTAAATATTGTACTAGATCACGACAATAAACAAGACAGAATCCCCACACTCTCAAAGTATCACAAGCCAGTGGGGAAGGCAGACGGTTAAGTAAAGCAACACCCTACAGTATAATAAATGTGTGTTCAGTGACGTGCAGGGTGGGTTGGAAAGGCTTCCAGGAGGACATGACTTCTAAGTTGAAACCTAACAAGAAGTGACATTCGTTAACAGTGTCTTTCAAAATGTGGTTCGCAGCCCTGCTATGTGAAAACCATCTGGTACTTGTTACAAATGCTGCTTCAGGAGCCCAGAACCCGATCCACTGAATCAGCGTCTCTGGAATGGGGAGTGGGTATCTGCATTTTTGACCAGAACCTCAGAGATATCTATGTGCACTAGTGTTTGAAACACTCTGGTCTAACTATACATATAAAAGGGAAACAGGGAGACTCCAGTCTCTAGGATTCCAGGAAAATGGTGTAGAAAGTGCCTCTTTATGCCTCAGACTTTTTAGCAAGTCAGAGCCTACTGTGTAAGGAGACCTGCAGCTCTATGCACAAAAGAAAATAATTGTTTATGTGTCACATATATACCTAAAAAAAGAAGAAATACGTTGAAGACTAGACCAGTCTATGTGCCTTAGAGAATAAAATGATGAAACATTGATGAGGCAGGAAGTGAAAGGCGTTTGTAACATATCTAATAAATTAATTAGCAAACAATAACTTGTGTTTCTGAGTCAGCTGGTAACCACTCAAAAGTTGAGTCCTACCTAGTCTCTACCTCTGAGCCTCACATAAATTAAGGAAAGTTTATTTTACTTTTTATGTCAAATTTCTCTCATTCATAGGATCTCAGATCTGTAAGGGACCTCATATGTGGATAGTCCCATCCCCCCATATTATAGAGAGAGAAACTAAAGCCTAGTTAAACGACGTGGCAGAAGTCACACAAGCTAACTAGTAGCCAAGCTAGAACTAGATTCAAGCCTCTTGGTCACCATGTCAGTGTCGTTACGTAGGGAGTCAAGCCGTAGCAGAAAAGAGCAGAAAGACTTGGATGCAAATCTTAGTCTTTTCTGTTATTTACCAAGTACTAAGCCACGTGACCTTAGACAAGATACTTAACTTCTCTATATCTCATTTTTTCCAAAATATGCCTACTTCTTACACAGGGCAATTATTTAGCACAGTTCTTAATACATGGAAGCATTTAATAAATATTATTATTATCACTACTGCTTTTATCATTATTATTAGTGACGTGGTAAATACCACACTGATCATTAGTTCTACACTACCACAGGACCCGATTCCCACACTTCTCTTTCTACTTGAAATTATCTACATTTTTTAAAGTTTAATCCATTGTCTCATATCTTTAATTCACAAGTTAGTTTTAAGAGTAAAATTTGCAACGCATGATAAGATACTTCCTTAGTCTTTTTTAATGTGCCCTTTTTTAATATCACCCTCCAAAGAAAAATCACTAGATCTTCAGTGAAAGTAACCTTTTATTTAAAAGTGTGCACTCCAAATACAGCGTGCACGAGAATGCTAATTCACACTTTCTGTTATTACCCAATTGATTTATTCAGTGTCAGGACATAGGCACCATGCTAATATTACTGCAGTTTCTGGGTATGCGGCACTTCTGCTTTTGGAATTACGGCTAATTTTAACACTGTCAAAATGCAGTAGTTCTAGTGCAAGTAATAATATAGTTTTTCCTAAGGTCCTATAATGCCATTGTGCTAAAAGCCCATATGTCTCTTATAATATGAGGGAAACCTCTCAGAGACCTGTTCCCCACAATCTAAGTCTGATGTGATGGAATTACCCAACCAGTCAGGGTAAATGTCAGGATTAGGCTGGAGACAGCAAAAGTGTAACTCCATTCCAAGTGGAATCAAAATGCTGGCATAAAAAAGGATCCTTTCCAAAGTGAGTCATGAATGTTGTATTTGTGTCTCCTTAACACTCTGTGTGAAAGTACTCAGCACTGCCTAAAGAGAACCAGACGTGGAATTCTTGGCCATCACCTCTCCCCCTACGATAAACAGCTAAAGAGTAAATGTTGAACTCCTCAAGAAGTTCGGGCCTGTCCTCTTTGTTCAAAGCTTGTGGTCTCATTCTATTTCCTCCACCTCCTCCTCTAAAGAAAGAAAGGAAAATAAATGAATGGAGAGCTTTTAAATTAGGAATAACTTGCACTTCATTTGAGAATTTTTTTAAAAGACACTTAGGAAGAGTATATTAGCACCAGCACTGATAAGTGGTTATTTACCGAAATACTGAAAAAATTTTCCTAAGGTAAATAATTACATATTGTGTACTATTTATTTTCATAAATTTTATGGTGATGTTTCTCTAAAAAACTACTTTCTAGTATTCTGACATTTTATAGTCATTTATAAATTGGAAGAAGGAGGAAAGCAGAAACTTGTACTTAAGGAGAGGTGAAGTTCGTAACACACTAACCCACTACTAGGACGTCCTATCTTTTCCTTTGGTGTTACAACACTGGTAGTCTAAGGATCCGAAATAGAACCGAAGATAGAAGAGACATATTTAATCAAAAGATAGACAATTAGAGAGAGAATGTCTAATTACGAACAGAAATGTCTAAAGAACAAAATTTTAAGACATGCTGCAGAAGGAATTTAGGACGGATAGATGAATTAAATTCAGTTCCTTGATAATCATGGCAGAAAGGAAAACAAAATGAAGACAGTTCTGCATTATTAACAGGGATTGCAAGAAGCAAGAAATAATCTCAGAAGGAAAAATCAAACATTTTTAAATGGCTTTATATTTCCCTTAAATTCTGACTCTGGAGACTAATAACTAACATTGTAAGGAACATGGTTTTTGTGGGCATCACATTCCTTATCTTCGAAGTGGAAGCTCTGGATTAGATTAGGGATAGCTAACACAGTACCCTTGTCCTGGCCTTCCTCTCTGGCACCCACGGAAGCACTGATGACAGATCAAGAGAGTTCCTTGCTGAGACCAGATTGAGCCTGGTGGCACTTCTCTACATAGCCAGGCAGCCACTACCTGTTAACTCCTTTATTGCTCAAAATGGAACCAATTTTCTCTTCTCAGTTTTAGACTTCCTTATTTATATAACTGATAGGAATAGTCTATGAATACAATTTTGAAATGTTTAATTTGGAAATTCCTTAATTTTTTTTGCAAAAGAAATGTAAATGCTAGTAGGATCAACAGAAATAAGAACTTAACATTTCAATACAGTGAAAGATAAATTCTTAATTCAATCTTACAGTCAGCATTATTAGTTCAAATTGAGAGAAATCCTACTTGCATATTTTGTAAGCTAGTCTTACATTATTTGTAATATAGATTACAGAAGGATGTATTTCCACATTATTTTACTTATGTCCAGGTAATACTTTTCAAATAGTGGAACATTACCAATATCTACAACTAACTAGGATAAACGAATGTATCGGATAAGACATACTATACAAGCTAATTCATTGCTTTTAAAATGTAATCATAAACCATGGCAAACCACAAGCCCTTTGAATAAACTCAAGCAAAAGTCTCAAGCATTCGGGTAACTAAGAACATACCACGACCTTAGCAATAGATGGTTTTATTGAGTCATTTTCCTGTTTTCCATACAACTGAATTACTACGTTCTGAAAAATTTTCTCTATTTCTATTTCTAAATTAGAGTGTTGCCCGTTGCCTCAGTGCTTGATCTTGAAAATGTACTGAAAACAATGCTTCTGTGCCTTCTTGAGGCAGGAAATTTCAGTAGCAGAGAAGGAAGCAACTGAAAAACACAGCCTTGTTGAAGAATCCTTTGGTAAGTTACTTTTCCAAAGTTTTTTCATTTCCTAACTCTTTATTTCCTACCAAGGATTGCTCATTCACATCTACTTGGTCATGTCAAAGTGGTGGCACTATTTTTTTTCGCTCATCCCATCCCACAGGAATCAGGGAGGAAAAGACTATTTAGGTTTAATTCTGTGATTGAATCTGGGCGCCGTGTGCAATTTTATAGAGATGTGTACTTTCTAAAGGGGCACTAAATTGTGAGGATCTAGTGCATGATTAAGTAGAATCTTGGAGACCCAAGTGTAAACCAAAAAGAAATTGTAGGTTACTTTGGGAGACATAATTACAAGAAGAATCCATGAACTCTAAGTAGAAGACTTATAGGTAAACCTGGCCCAAGAGAATTCTCTGCCACAGCCTGCCAATTACATTCTATCAAGAGAGAAATGTAAATGTTTTTAAGTTACGGATACTGGAAAAACTAAAGAATATATATCAGAGAGATATCAGGAAAAGATTTCTTCAACTTATCGACCTGAAGTCCTTATTTTACGTGAGTTCTTAAAGGAAGTAATTGTCACCTGTGGGGCAGGTGGGTGAGAAGAAAGTAGCGATTGTCCAGCTGAGAGTCTTGCTACCTCAAAAGTCTGACATTCATTCTCATTCTTCACAATTCCTCTGTAAAGGGATTGCTAAGAGCCTTATATTGCCTCCATCTTTCAAACATTATCAGAGTATTGTTATGTCTATTTTTTTCTAAGGATAGTAGCTTTCAGGCATTACTTTCTTCATAATAATATTGATTTGTCTGTGGTTGTGTAAAATTTCATTATCACAGAGTCATGACTACTGAGCCAGCTTACTGAAGTTAAAGAAATCTTGATGAAACATGTTTTCTCTCTGGAATCTACATGTAAGTGTCACCTAAGTGATTTGGTTTGTTAAATACTAAGCTTTGACATCCAAGTTCTACAGCATTTTTGTTACAGATCGTTTTGAAAACTCTCCTTGAAAAGTAATTTAAAATGTAAAATCAGGGGCCACCCCAGTGGCATAGTGGTTAGGTAAATTCATGGGCTCCACTTCAGCGGTCTGGAGTTCGTGGATTCAGATCCCTGGCACAGACTTACTCACTGTTCATCAAGCCACGCTGTAGTAGCATCCTACATACAAAAAAATTGAGGAAGAGTGGTACAGATGTTAGCACAGTGGCAATCTTCCTCAACCAAAAAGAGGAAGACTGGCAGCAGATGTTGGCTCAGGGCCAATCTTCCTCACACAAAAAAATTAAATAAATAAAATGTAAATTGATATTCCCAGTATGTGTTTAGAAGGGTTATGTTTGAAAGGGTTAGGAGAGGGAGCAAATAAAAAGGGATATGAGACTTCCAGACTTTGAAATCAAATCGTTCACAAGCGACACCTCTCAGAAGAATTATCTGTTGCCCAACTGAGGGTGGCAGGTGTGAGGCCAGAGCACCAACCTGCAGCCACTCCCCTGAGCAGCCGTGTCCTCTATTGTTCCTCAAGACACTGATGTTTGCATGTGGTTCATTTTGTAATTTCTTAAGGGGAACAAAGTGCCAAGCTTCAACTTTTTACTCAGCTTTTGTCCCATTCCTGTCTCTTGACAAAGAATTTCAAGCCTATATCAATACTCTTCCTTTCATTTGGAGAGTACAACAGATGAAATGGTTTATAATTCAATAAAAATACTGGAAGAGCAATTCATCAGTATTTCGTTTAGGAGGTCGCAGGTTTTATGTTTGTAAAAAATCACTAGATATCTTAAATATTATAATTGGGACCAACGAAAGTCAAGACATGCCAATGCAAGTTAGAAATGTTAAGATACTCAGTGTCTTCCTGTGACTACTTTTAAGTAAATGTTAAATTTAAAAGTTATAGAGTCATTTTTTCGGATCCTGGGACTATTTCTTTATTGCCGTGCAATTAATATATGTCTAACATTTCCTCTGTATTTTTTATTTTTTTATACTATCAGCCACTGCTTTTTAGTTTTATTAAGTGTTTAGTAACCTCTATGATATGAAATCTGTTAGAATTAATTTCCATTTTCAAGCAATTCAGTTTCACAAACATATTTTCAAACTAGCTCTTCTACTTATGCTAATCACAGCATAAATTGGTATATCAGGGAAAAGAGAAATATGGTAAATTGGGTTGGATGGTTTGTGTTAAAATCCAAATAAGAACCCTAATTATCAAACTGGGTTTGTATTTAACTGCATTTGAAAAGTTTTCTAGGCAGGCTCAGTAAGTCTTAAAGCATTATTTCTTAATTTAATGCTTTTGTGAACTTACGTCACACATTAAAATCATCTTAATGCACCTTTTTGTCAATTCTTCACAATAGTATTACAAAAGGAAGAGAGGAGAGGGATGCATTTTAAAAAGCAAATGAAAAAGAACTCAATGGAAACCTATTAGGCTACCTGTTGATGAGCATGTAAGAGAGTCATTAATATGCGGATCATTGACATGATAGGCCATAATGACTCCTCCAGGGACGTTTCAGTCTATTGTGTCAGACACTAGTTAGGGATTCATTAATGTGAAGACTCGTGACTTCTTAATATGCAAATCATTAATGCAATGCACTGAGGCATACCTCACAAATGTCCACATTTTGTGTTACATATTTTCTTTGCCAACCCTTCACCCACATCTTTGTGAACTATTTTCTTTCTTCCATCTTCTGTTGCAGATTTCTTCACAAAAGATTCTATATTCGTGTGGAATCTACCACTTTACATTTGAAGACCGCCTCCCCTTCAGCCTGTGTTTCTTTGATTTAAGGTACGTTTACATATGCAAACCACTTGAACACTTTGACTAAATCACTCAAAATTCAGCACAAAAATCTGATTTGATATTTTCCTCCAATGTCAAATTAGCCAAAGGCAGAGCAACATGAACAAAGTACTTGTTTTTAAAATTAAAACTCTGAAACATGAATAGTATAACCAGCAGTTGAATAATTTGGACTGAAGGTGGGTGGGAAAGAGTAGTGGAGCAGAGAAAAGAAAAGGAGAGCAGAGAAAGACCCAAGAGAGAGAACATTGGAAGAAAAATAGTGCAGTTAAACCAACTAAGAAGAGCAAGTATTCGTATCAACGTAACACGTTAAATGAGGAAATGGATTTAAATGACTCAGTGTCTGGCATACAGCAAGTAATCAATAACTATTCGCTAATATTATTATGTCAGCATTTTGCACTTATACAAAAAGATGAAGTTAATACCCACATTCCCTATTGAAACAATATGAAGACGTTATAGAGTGAAAGTGCTTCAATGTTTGAATTAACATACTAAGAAGAAGGGGATCAAACTTATATTCCTTATTCCTGCAGCAGAATCAGCTACAGAATTCATGGAAAGGTACTCTAGTATCTCTTGAAGCTTTTTCCACATACCATGTATGGGAAATAGGTTATAATATAACTTTTCATCTGGGACTTTACCTGCTACCTTTATTCATTTTCTTGCCACTTTATTACTCTAGTCTCATCTAAAATACAATACAATCTTTCACAAGTATTTTTATACTAAATTTCAGGAAAAACAGACCCTTAGTTCTAAACTTATAAACTCCATAACTCTAAACTCTGTATGGGTATACCAAAGTGTTTATCTACTTATCATAAAATACGTATGTCCCCATGCAAACTCAGTATTATAATTTTCTAAGTTAACAGCTTTATTAAAGTGTAATTTACATAAACAAAATCCGTTTGTTTTAAGTATTCAATTCAATGACTTTTAGTATATTTAGTGTATTGATAGAGTTGTGCAACCATCACCAAAATCTGATTTTAGAACACTTCCAGCACCCCAAAAAGAAATCTCATGCCCATTAGAGTCGCAACTTATTCCCACCCCGAGTCCTAGACACCTGCTAATCTTTCTGTCTCTATTTATTTGCCTCTTCTGGACATTTCATATACCTGTACAGGGAATCATGCAATATGTGCTCTTTTGCGTCTGGCTTCTTTCACCGAGCGTAATGTTTTTCAGGTTAATCAATGTTGTACCATGTATCAGTACTTCCTTTTTATTGTTGAATAGTATTCCATTGTATAGACACACCACACTTTGTTTATCCGTTCACCAGTTGATGCACCTTTGAGTTGTTTCCACCTTTTGGGTCTTGTGGATAGTGCTGCCATTAATATTTACATGCGAGTATTCGTGTGGATGTATGTTTTTTTTCCCTTGGACAGATACCTAGAAGTGAAATTGCTGGGTTTATGGTAATTCTATAATTTCAATTTCTCCACATCCTCGTCAACACCTGTTATTATCTGTCTTATTGATTATGGTCATTTTAGTGGGTGTGAAATGACACTTCTCTGTAGTTTTGATTTGTATTTTTCTAGTGACTAATGATGTTGAATACTTTTTTATGTGTTTATTGGTCATTAATCCATCTTCTTTGGAGAAATGTCTACTCAAATCTTTTTCCCATTTTTAAATTGGGATATTTGTCGTTTTATTATTGAGTTGTAAGAGTTCTTCTGGATATGTCACTTATCAGATATATGATTTGTAAATATTTTCTGCTATTCTGTTGGTTGTCTTTTCAATTTCTTGATTGTGTCTTTTGAAGTGCAAAAGTTTTTAATTTGGATGATGTCTAAGTAATAAAATTTTTAAGTTAGCTTTAAGGTCTTTGCTACCTTAAATAGATCTACAAAGATTTATTTGATTAAAATTCTTTAAATAGGAGGCAATATTATTATTAGCATAAATAATCTTTATTAACATAATTATCACACACAGCTAATTACACTTCACATTCATGCTCATGTTAATTTCAATACTAAATGATAGAAAACATCCACCAGTTATTGGTCCTAACCCAGGTTCTAGACTGGAGCAGATGTAAGTGGATTCAGAGATGATGCAAATGAACATATAGATTCAAGAAAAGAAGTCGAACTGATTCTAGAAGGTTATAGTACAAGCACCATCTTATTTTCTCTGGAGCCTACCACTGAAAGCGATGGAGTAGGCAGGGAAGAGCTCATCGGTGCCAAGATGGCTTTCCCGGTTGAAGGCTTTTGGATCCCTGATTAAATAGAACAAAGTTCATTACCAGGAAATCCTAATAAGGTGAAGTGACAAGAGCTCACTAAAATAGACTTTGGTTGGAGATTAGTACAAGAGCAAACAGTACTGGGGAAGGATAAGTTGAGAACCAGATGGAAACCAAAGGCAAGGAGCAGGTGACTAAAGTTGGACCACAGACTAGTCAGGGACAAGAGCCGAATTCTGCTGAGATGCAGTTGCATTCTTACAGAGGGGGACCTCTGCCACACTTTTAACAAGGCAACACAAGACTACAGTCAACACTCTGAAGAACACTGCTATCAAGTGGGCTTAAAAGAACTCAGTCCTTCTACTGGACACCATGCTAATTCAGAACAATGTTGGACAAAATTCAATGTATATTTATTCAACAAATATTTAATATGTGCTAGGCATCATGCTAGAAGTTAAACCATGAGCACAAGCCAAGATTAAACAAACTCTGCCTTCATAAGGTTTACAGTCTAAAGAAGGATAAATGCAAACCAGAAGTTTAAAATCACAGTTGTACTTTCATGATTGGGGAAGCATGGAGTCCTACAGAAGAAAATAAGAAAGCTAGCCCAAACTCAGGGAAGGAAGGTGGCCAGGGAAGGCAATAGCAACAGCATATACACATGAGCTTGTAAAGAGAGATCAGACTAGAGGAAGGTCAGATCCTGCAATAAGATTTAAAGATTGTATTGAAAAGTTTGATCTTCTGAATCATAAAATAAATATTTTTTAAAAGGAAAAATAAATACTTTCTAAAAAGTTTACTCCATTCTAAATGGAAATTAACTTTACCATGCTGTTTAGTTGTGCTCATTTCCTCTTCCCCAAGTCATCACAGGGGCAAAAGATCTTTAAAAAAATGCCTTATTCATAAAGCTCATCTTTTGTATCTCACTGTCCACACAGTCCTTAATGTTGCTACTGTTGCTAAAAATCTCTCATCCTGTATTTGTAAAAGTGTTATTTCATTTAGATTTAATAATTTTCCTCTGTTTAAATAGTATTATTCTTTTGTAGATACTGAAACTAAATGATTTTCAATTTAAAAAAATTATAGCTCAGAACACCTATGTTTATGCCGGTCCTTCTCAGCCCTTGTACACATCAGAATCACCTGGGGAGCTTTTTAAAAAATACCTAAGCCTGGAGCCCAGCCCAGAGTGATTAAATTGGAGTCTTTGTATTGGGATCTGGATATAGGTGTCTTATTTTTCCCTTTCCTATGTGCAGCCCACTTTGAGAAACCCTGGTTACAGTACTGTTCTACACTAGCTTTTCCTGCATGAAGGTATGGTTAGTGTGAAACTAGGTCCTTCAATAAAAACACTCTATTAAGATTTTCCTTGAGGGAGAGGAGGAGAGGGTATACCTTATCAAACAGCCTAGTTTTAATATAACTTTTACGTGGATTGTACTTCTGCTTTGTTCGTTCTATACAGCAATTAATTTTCATTCATCAAGGGTATTACCTATCCATACTTCAGTGAATTAAAATTTTTTTTAACCAAAAGGCAACCTAGATGCCATTTAGGATAAGAGACATTCATCATTTCTAAGTTAACAACTGTATTGCTCATTATAAAATTGATGGTGTTTGTGAAGATTTAGACCTGGGCTAGTAAAATATTTTCCAGTTGTACTATGTGGCAAATTGCCCAACAATTATTGTAAATGCAAGCACCATAAAGTGTGTTGTCAAGGACACTAGTAGGTTAGATCCCATAAAAGAAATAGAGTCCTGAGGTGAACATAATGGAGATGAGGTGACAGTTATTGAAAAAGGCAGAATGTGCAATTTACTGGTTTAAACATAAGTTTGTGAATAATGCTGATAGTTTAATGTGTTTGGAGTTTATCCTATGGAAGAGAATGTTTCATATAAAAATACCGTAACCACATGTATTCTGGTCTTCTTTTTTCCTGATTTGATAATAAGTGAAGGCACTTGCAAGATTACATTTGCTGTCTTTCAGAATCATCATTTTCCAATGGTTTGCTTAATTTATATGTATATAATGTTGATTTTATGAAAAATGTTTTATTCTTACAAGTACCAATTAGACTTATCCAATAGTACAACACTAATATTCTACATTCAAGGTAATCAAAACATTTTGCAAATAAAAATGATAGATACAATTGTGTCATGCTTTTTAAGATAACTCAAATGCAGAGTTTCTTCTTTGATTAGATTAACTATAGCCCGGCTACACCTTCACTAAAACAAAATTGTACATGTGTCCTTCAGTGCAAAAGGTAGACCTAAAAGATAGGATATGGGGATCTGGGTAGCCAGAAAGCAGCCAGAGAAAGGAGACAGGGACCCTAAAAGAGTTTGGTGTCAAGGACAAACTGCTGATTACACTCTCTCATCTGTGCTTTTTCTGCACTCCTCCTTTCTCTCAGAGACCTTGTGGGTAGTGACTGGTCTTCTGGGAAATAAGTCCAAGAGGCTATAGGAGATCTGAGCATGAGAGCTCAATGCAAAGAGAAGGGGAAGGGCCTTCACTTGAACTTACTTAGAATATTTGTACTGGTAGCTTCATTCAGCATGGAATTCTCTTCCTCTAGATTTCTTCATGACCAACTCTCTTCAAGTGTCTCACCAATTGTCACCTTCTAAATGAAGTGCAACCTTGACTCCTTGTTCTTCTTATGCTGCTCTGCATTTTATATTCTCAATTGCATTTATCATCTTCTAAATAACTTACTTATTCTTTATGTTTATTACTTATTAGTTTTCCCTCCATTCAAATGCAAGCTACACGAGGACAGGGATTGTCAGTTTTTTGCTGTTGTATCCCCAGTGCTTAAAACAATACCTGGCACATAGTACATGTTCAATAAATATTTGTTCAATGCATGAAGGTCCTTTATTGATTTCTTCCAGTCACTGATTTTTTTTAACTCCCTGTCAGTTCACAAGCTGAAGGGCCTAGTAAGAGCTCTGCTACTGATATTTTAATGATTTTTTTCTTTCATGTCAACCAAGACCCATACCCTCTCAATCTTGAGGTAATTGGTATTATAGAAGAAACCATACTACTGTATGTATCCATCCAGTGTATCCACCCAAGGAGATAAAGATTGAGATGCCTGGACTAATCTTTTTCAGTAAGTTAAAACAAAACCTTAGATTTTGAAGGAAGAATTTGATTAAACTAATTAAAAAAAGAATTTTTCCCTAAGCATGATCAGAGCTGTAAAATGAATCACTGTGAAATAAGTATAGAAATATCTAAATATCTGTGCCTTAATACATATCTGCTTATTTATGTTAAAGATGACCTACAGCAAAATTAAATAATTGTTATTGATCATGAAAAAAGGATAAAACCTGTTTTAAACATCCCAACATATAGAGACAGAAAGTAAAAAGTGGTTATGAACATTTAATCCACAACGCATCTCAAACACAATCCTAAGTATAATGATGTTCATAAACGCCATGAGCAGTTTTTCAGGGCAATGAAGAATCTTTCATATAACATCATTAATGGAAAGCATCTTGTGATAAAAACACTGGGAAATTGTACTCAACATTTACAATTACATCAATATCCTTGCAGTTAGCCACCTGGTTCATACTTTGCTCTCCACTTTAATTTACCCTGCATGCTCTTTCTGGATTAATATAACTAAAATACTACTTTGTCCATGAGCATAGAGACTAAAGTTACTGGCAAGAGTGTACAATTATTTTTCAGCTCTGGTTTCCAAGCTTGACTCCCACAAATCTTTTCATTCCAGGCAGTCTGATTGACTAATAAAACCTCCAATTTGTCTTTTTCACTGCCATTTCCACAAATATTTTTTACTCTATGTAAATGCTCTTCTGCCCCTTCTCTATTTCAAAGTCAAGTTCAATTCCTCTGTAATGCTGTTCCTAATCAGAGCATCCTGCAGTACAATCATTTCTCTAATGCCTGTTGCTCTGTATCTCCTGTGATCTCCTCTGAGTATGTGGCATTCCATTTGGCACACGCTATGTTGATAACTAACTTCTGCTGTATATAAATATTATCCCCTAACCAAATGAACGCTTGAAGATAGAAGCTACCTAGGAGAATTCCACCTAAAATAAGAACTCCACAATTTCTTTATGAATAAAGAGGTACTACGGTTCAGAGCCATAGGGAATTAGAGACCTTATATCACAAACCTTATATCACAAAAATCTTCTATATTTCCTGGACTTGATCAAATAAGCCCTTTTTGCCTAAATTTCTCCTTTGTGAAATGGGACTGGCCTTGCTTATAAAGGTGATATAATGGGAGATAATTTTCTATAACTTAAGAAATAATAATAGATTTAAAACATACATTCTTTAAGTTTATACAAGCTAATTTATTAAAGTAGTAAAATATCAGAATTAGAGTTGTCGATAGGCTATAGTCCATCCATGAGATGAGAGTCCCACCTGGTTTTATAGCCAAGTTCTAACAAATGTTGCAGATCCTGAGACACAAAATTAGAAGAATGAAAGGGAATTGGTCCAAGATTACCATAAGTGGTCAAGAAATTTTCCAGGAATTGGAGAAATACACACACACGCACACACACACACAATTGACCCTTATAATCACACCAACACAATTTTGAAAAAGGTTTCCAAAAAATTAATTTCCTTAGAGGTTACAATCATCATAGACAAGTATATTCTATCACACTAAAAAATATCCCTCCAGATTACTCAGTCCATGGCTAAGCCCTCCCCAGAAAATGTTCAATTGTCTCCTAAGTAACATTTTCAGTGGGAAACTAGGCACATCGGTATATTGAAAGTTAAAGGGAAAACAACAAATGTAAATGATAAAACTTTAATTTTCAGCTAATTTCATTGAAATACTTCTGAGAAAGTGAAAAATAACTATTTACAAATGCCATGCATGAACTACCTCAATAATATATTTGTATTTTGGGTGGAGACTTTAGGTTTTGTACAATAGTGTTCTTTAGGATATTAGGAAAATTATACTAAAACTCCTAATGAAAACTATGAGACATTAGTTGAGGGTGATGATGTAAGAGTTAATTGATATATCATTATAGATAGGGTATACTATTATTTTTGCCATATAAAAATATAATTATTTACGCTAATTTCCTAAAAATATATATTTGTTTCATCTTATGTCATAAAAAGAAAATAATGTTATTTTTAAAGTTTTAAAAGCACTATAATATGCCTGATGATAACAGTACTATTTCCATTTGAGTTTGTTAATATTTTCACAAAACATTTTACATATATTTTATATTCTGCAAAATCGGCAATTAGCTACAAACTAGAAAATTACCACTGCTTAAATTTTTCAAAGGGAAAAGCTTTCGCCTATAAGGATCAATGCAACTCGACTCGTCTGTTATACAGTTTTAAAACATTTGTATGCAGGAGTATAAGAAGTCTTCATATTCTTCCTGTAACTTTTCTTTAAATCTGAAATATTTTTAAAAATAGTACTCAATAGAGCATAGCTGATTCATCACACTACCTTTTTGTAGGTTTTAAGCTTAAACATTTAGATGCATTGCATTATTCCTCTTTAATTGTCTTTATTTTTGTGGTTTCATGTAGGGGAAGACCAAGACTCCACAATCTCAAGACAGATGACAGTGGTATATAATAGTGTTCAGGTTTAGGTACACAGGAGGAATCTACACAGGTATAGGTACACAGCAGACAGGACAACAGCCACGCTCAGAATCCACAGGTATCGGAATCAGTGAGCGCCACAGGAGCAGCAGCAGCACTAACAGGAGTACTGGCCCTGGCAAGAAGAAAGAATGAATGACTCATTTCTGATCAGTGGACATACAATATCTGCCTTTCTTCTTTTGGCTTTCAGCCTGTTGAATTTTTCTGACTCTAGTACCACTGGTCTGGATCGTGGTACGAAGGCAGTCAAAGGCTACTCAATGACTATTTCTTTTATTTGAGATGCTAAGATTATTTGACATTACTGAAAATTAACATTGTGTTGACTCAATGGATTAGCTCTTTAGAAAACATAGGAAAGAAGAAAAGACAATAATGAGAATATCTTTAGTAGACTATATTAATTTATTTCTCAATTTGATCTTTCATTGATACCTTGGTAACTGAAAGTAATCATCTGAATTTAGACTGTCCATAAATGTTATAAGGGTTAATGTGTTCAATTCCATATTTAATTTTGAGTCAATTTAGATAACAAATATATCTCTTATCACAGAGATAAACTTCTCTTTTATCGGCTGTTTTTATAATATGTAAATACAGCTTTGAATATTCTATTCTATTCTTAATTTTGAAAATAATTTTTATTTTTCTTCAAATGAGCAATCATTACCTCTATGGCCATAGACTATAATCAGGGTGTAGAATTAATAGGAGTTGGCAAAAGAGAAATCAGTCATTATATGGAAGTTTCTTATTTGCACGATAGGAATGATGACTATGACTTTAAACAAAATAGAGACTAAAGGCAGAGAAATTACCATGGGAGGGAAAAGGTAACTTTGGTTTGGGACATAAGGGAATTAATTTGCCACCTGGATATCCAGATGGAGATGACCAGAAGGCATCTGATTTTTAAAGATTGTGAAAACAATAAAAGCATTCTTCATTAAAACTATAATAAGCATAATTCATTCTTTAATTATTCAGAAGGTACTTTTAGATTTTACCAAGCCTAAGGGTTATCAATGAGAAAACCATTTGCCTTTAATAAGTATTTTTTTCAGAGCTTTTTATATGCAAAGCCCTGTGTTAGTCGCCATGGAGAATATGCTTATACGAATACACTGTTCCTGACCTCAAGGAACTTGCAGTCCAGTTGTGAAGGTGGCCCACAGAGTTTTTTTTAACTGCAGGAAAAGGTCACCATTGTAAACATCCCGCCCAAGCAGATATAGAGGGCCATATGGCAAATTACTCTTCCTTCCAACCATAAAAATATCTCATAAACAGTAAGTCTTTTGCTAAATGTTAATTTCCTTGCCTATAAATAAATTGCATCAGATGCAAACACAGCAAACAGCATCTCTTTCATTTGAGGAAAGTTGTTTTATTTTGTACCCTAGGAATAGCTACTCCAGGGGAAAATGCTGCCAGAAATACTGGTAATTTAAAGGAAGCATAACAAACAATGAAAGGGCAAAAGCAAGTCCCGTAATATGGATAAGTCAACAATAGTTCCTGTGGGACTACATGAGTTTTACGAGATTTGTAAACAAATGTCTTGAATGCTCATATAACTAGCATTGTCTAAAACTTAACTTATTTGGCAAAGTTAGCTTGGAATGAGATATTACTAATATAGAAAATATGAAATACTAGAAAACATATGAACTACCTGAAGAGTATCTTTACTATATATATTACACACACACGAAAGAAACAAGGTTTAAGTGAAAAGCTCACATATACATATGTGTGTGTGTATTTTTTCCACAAAAAAAGTAATGCATCAAGGATAATTTGAATGTAGATGGACAGTATTACTTATACTGCTCCCTATGTTCAATTTACTAAATAAATTATCAACTAGATTGACTGTACCTGTCCTCTGCACATATTCATTGATTATAGCAAATAACTTTTAATTAAAATTGTACACACACACGGAGGATAAAATACAAAATAAATGTAACATATATTCAAATGAATTCTTGTAGGCATTGTATCAACCTTTCTACAAAAGGATACAGTTACAATCAATTTAAATTTCAGCTGGTCTATATTACGTTTGATTTTTACAAATCTATTCAAAATTCCTTTTCAATATATTATGCAATTACATTCTTGAGTTACATTTTATTAAAAAATTAGATATCTAGAAAACAGTGTAACTATTATTCTTAATTATTCATTATTTGTGTAAGAGGGTTTCAAAAATTCTAATACAGCTACCTTTTTATGTAGGATTGAGAAATAAACTGAGTGATCTTCTGAAATGCTTTAAACTTTGTAATTTTGTAAAATAAAGTTTCCTTCCTTGCTCTGACTCCCATGAGAAGTACAGTAATAATAATAATACCTCCAGTGTTCAAAGCTAAAGACAGCAGGATTGGGAGAGCTCCTTAGCTAGTCTGCTATTAGCCTATTGGGCTGCCCCTGATACATCAGTCCTGGCAACACATGGTTCTCACAACTGCGATACCACTCACTCCTTAAGAAAATCCAGTTGGCGATGAGTTTCTTCTCTGACTTTTGCATTAAAATACTACAGACTAGTTTATTAGTTTACTAGTTTGGACCTCAGGGGAAAAGTCTAAAGTTACAGAGGTTATTTGACATGGAAAACAGAAATCAGTCACAGAAACAATATAATTCTGCTTAATCATTAGAATAGAGACTCCCACATTGAATTCAACTGAGAATCAGAACAAACTAATGACAAGATTAAAGACAGAACAATGTGAATGGCCACGTAAAGACAGAATTTCCTGATGGAATATATTACCTAAGGACACAAAATCCCAAGAGATGATCAAGAAGAGAATATACAATCACATGGCTTGGGCAGTTTTCAGACTAATTCTATCAGAAAGCAAAGGATAGAGTTAAAAGGTCTCTTCCACAATACAACTCAATGAAAATTGTTCGGAAATCAAAGCTATATTAACCTTGGAAACAAATATAGTTTTATTTACACTAAACATGATAGTCTCATACATCTACCTAAGATTATATGTGAAGATTTTTTTTTTCTGCCTCACCTGGCTGTGAAAAATCTGTGCAATTTTTCTATTGGCAAATACTCAAAAGATTTAAGTTGTAACAATATATTATAAAATTATTTATATAAACATTAGTCCTCCAAAGGAGATATTAACAAAATGTGAGAATTTTGCCTGGTTTCATTCCATATACGGCTTATGAAGCTGAAATTTACCTGAGCAATTCAGTGGGAACTGTAATTGTGTGAAGACATCCACAGTAATTTTTAAGAATGAAGATCACCCTGGGATTTCTCTTATAGATTTAGAGTCAAAAGGTTAGGGTTGTATCATGGCTTAATTCTGTAAAACAAGCCAGAATACCACCAGTGTTAAATGGATGATAAAATCTGTTTCACTTAATTAGAAAAAGTAGGTATTATTTGGCATGCTTTATAAATATAAATTTAGGGATACTTTGATCTTTTTTACTACTGCAAATTTTAAAAGAGGAAAATAAAATTCAAATCCACATATATGCATAGGACAATCATTATCTTATGATGTTAGAATTCTATTTCTAATTGTGACTTGAACAGCACTGATGTACAACATAGACAGACAATTTCCAGAGTAACACAAGGGGGAGGAAATAGTAAAATTTCCTAAGTCAGGTTGTTTAATGTACAATTGGTCTCTGTCACTAAACAATGCTGTATGACAGTCCAATTTAACAATTTATTTCTATTTGTCATATCTTTAAACAGCAGGATGGTAAGAGTAAGGCTTCAAAACCAGTTATTATTTATATAATAGATAATAACTCTACCATGCCAATTACCCGAAGAAAGTTATTAGGGGAGCAGAATAAAAATCTTAAAAGATTTGAGAGATATGTCCTGAGGAACTTTTTCTTTTTTGTATAGTGGTAGAGTCCAGAGAATGCTTTAAAACAAAGGAATGACCAAAATGCAGTGGTGTACAATATATTTTCTTAGAGGAAAAGAATTATATAAAATTCAATTTCATGTTCTATTCATAGGAATACAGGGATGATAAGGTGAAATTGTGTGCAGCCAACTTATTTAGTCCAAAAGAACCATCTTAAGAACTACCTTCAGAAAAAATAGGCTGCAGTTCATTAAAAAAAAAATACCAAAACATAGCGTCCAACTTATGAACAGGTGATATTCCAAAATTGCTTGTAACCCAGAAGTTGCTGGAATTTGGAAACTGTTTTTTCCCATAGAAGCAATGCCATGAATATTAGTTTCCCTGGTTAATGCCCAAAAGGTTATTGAACCCGTCACATAATTAATTTTGAAACTATTTGTATTAGGCTGGGTCCTGGTAGCAGGAATGATAATGAGGGAAAAAAGCATTCCTCCGTTAATCTTTGGCATAGCACTAGCCATATACAAGATTTTAAAATGTGGAATTTATCACCAATGCCATGGGGAGTATCTAGAAAGTGTCAACAACTGGGATAGATGCTTCTATATGTTAGCTCACATGTTTCTCATAGCAACTCTGTCAAGGGGAAAGTATTATCCCTATTTCACACTTGAATAAAATGGATACAGATTATAACTGAAGTTCACACAGTTAGTGATTAGTTAGGAGGAAAGCACAAATCTGCCCTACTTTAGAGCTGATGCTATTTCCATTGAGCCTTGTTGTTTCTGGAATCCACTTCCCCACTCCCCCCTAAATACGCACAAACACACTCCAGACCTCGAGTCCTCATGCTTCTAAGGAGCCCTTAACACAACTCTGTACTCAAATCTGCCTTGTACACCATAGTGCTCTCAGCCCTAAAAGTATCCATTTCTGTTGTCTCAGCACAAAGTCAAAGCTCCATTGTACAACTGATCTTAGTCAGGTGTAAGATAGAAATAACCCATGCCATCCTAAGGTGTCTGCATTTAAGAAGAAGTTACACATATATATACTTTGTATTTTATACATATGTATATTATATACCTGCTATATATAAAAATGTATTTATATGTATTATATGTACGTGCATACATATATAAATAAATTTCAGGCACAGTTTCAAAGTGAAGTGTCAGGGTACAGAGGATCTTTGAAGTTCGACAGGGCACTGGGCAATGAAGCCCATCTC